TGCTCATAGATAATGTGGGCCAGAGTTAGCTGCAGCTCAGCAAACCAGGGACCTATCTATTGTCCTACCATATAAGATAGGTTTATGCCAAACCTATCATACCTCTTGCAGCTTTTCACAGTTCTGGCCATGCAACATCATGATCAAGGTGGTAAAAGGTAACCATGATAAAGATTATTTATTTATTATTTACAATATTGATATTCTGCTCTTCTCACCCCAAAGGGGACTCAGAGCAGATCACAGAACACATTCAATGACATTAGGCAACAACAAGACAGACAAATGTACATAGATAGAGGTATATATAGGCTTTCCTATCTTTGGCATCTTGGAGGCTGTGCTCGGTTCTGGCCACCGGGGGAGGGGAGGAGGAGTGCTATCACTCTATCTTCCCTGCCATAGAGCTTTGTTTGTAAACTTCCTCCATTATCAAATCGCAGGTATTTTTCTCGCATTTCCTTATGGGTGCCTTAAATACCTCCCCACTTTAAAGTGGTACTTATTTATTCATATTTGTTTTGAACTGCTGGGTAGGCAGAAGCTGGACTAAAGGCCAGGAGCTCACCTGACCTGGGCTTTGACTTGTCAATCTTTCGATTGGCAAGATTTTCTGTAACTGGTGATTGACCTGCTGTACTCTATTCTGATAACAAAACATTAGGAAAGCTTGATATATGTAAGTAAGTCTACTTGTTATGTTTTAATTATAGAGCCCGTTTTATTTCTCTGCTAGAATCTTTGTATTGTGGTGATGGGCTGGGACTGATGGGGTCTCTATGTCTTCTTATGGTTAACAATTCTGTTTGTGAAAGAACTGCTATTTCTCAAATTTCCAAACACAATTTTCTTTTGGATTTTTCCACCAAGGTGTTATAAGAGCAGGAAGTTTGCAAGTTACAAACAAGATAGGTTGTGTAAGTTTGTTCTTTAGTTGAATTTTTATGTAAGATGGAACAGGTACATTTTATGTGTAACTCTATCCCCATATGCATATTACATTTCTTATTTTGAGAATGATAGCACTGGGAAGGGTCAACACCCCTGTGGGGTTTCCTTTGCTGTCTGTTCCCTGTTCAGAAGATTTCACCTCATTTTTTTTCATGTGATACTAATTGGATTTTGAAAAAAATGGCTTGTTGTGAAAATAAAGCTTCAGTGGACACACCTTTTCCCCATGGTAGCTTTTTCAAGAGTGAGTTTCCCTCCCGAGAGGTAGATTTCTCTCACTTTCTGCTGTCTTACCCTGTTCTTAACTATGAGTCATTTGTAAGTCAGATGTTTGTAACTCAGGGACTTCCTGTAAAGTAGAATGGTGGATAAGTTGACACAACTACATTTCAGAACAGCACACTAAAGCTAAATCTACCCAGTAGAATTAATGCTGTTTGACACCACTTTAGCTGTCGTGACTCAGTGGTATGGAATCCCAGGATTTGTAGTGCGTTGAGACAGTAGCGTTTTTTGGTAGGAAAGGGTACGGGGCTCGTAAAACTACCATGGCAGCTAAACTGATGTTTTTAATACTTTTGTTTTAATTTGCATCAGGATTTTCTAGCTCTTATGGCAGAAAAATATAAAAATAAAAATACTATGAATTGTAGATCGATGTTCTAATAGCTTTCCTCTGCCAACCAGAACGATGTTGAGTCTAACCTTGTGATGTTACTAGACGAGCCAGGACTAAAATTTCCAAAATATTAAGCACGTGGAATTGTCTGTGTAAATTAAGTGCTGGGACTCAGTTTTGGCAAAGGTGCATTTCATTGCGGAAATGTTTCCATCTCTCCTGATGTTGCTAGGACACCTGCTGGAAAAGAGCTGAAATACACCCAAGAGAGATGTCTGTCAAGAAACCTATTCTCCGTGTTTGTTTTAAATTTCATATCATTTTTGGAAAGTTTCACAATGAATTTAACTTATTGAAATATGAATGCTTTCCAATACATATTTGCCTATCTATGTATTCAGAAAAATGTGTACAACATGGCAGTTTTAGGCATATTATATTATATTATAAGATTATCATAGGAAGTAGGTCGCTTCTGGTGTGAGAGAATTGGCCATCTGCAAGGACGTTGCTCAGGGGGTGACCGGATGTTTTGATGTTTTACCATCTTTGTGGAAAGGTTCATTCATTTCCCCGCATGGGGAACTGGAGCTGACAGAGGGAGCTCATCTGTGCTCTCCCAGGATTTTTGAATCTCTGACCTGTCAGTCTTCAGTTCTGCCAGCATAAGGGTTTAACCTATTGTATTCAAGTTACTCCTGACATAGGAGCCCCTGGCAGCGCTGTGGGTTAAACCCCTGTGCAGGTAGGACTGAAGACTGACAGGTTGCAGGTTTGAATCCAGGGAGAGGTTGATGAGCTCCCTCTGTCAGGTCCAGCTCCCCAAGCAGGGACATGAGAGAAGCCTCCCACAAGGATGATAAAAAAAACATCAAATCATCTGTGCATCCCCTGGGCAACGTCCTTGCAGACGGCTAATTCTCTCACACCAGAAGCGACTTGCAGTTTCTCAAGTGGCTCCTGACACAACCAAAAAAACCCTCAAATTCCTGACATGAAAAAAAAAACATAGGTAGTAACAACAACAGCAGCAGCAGCAGCAGCAATTTTAGTTGTTACCCACATCTCTTTCAATAAACATTTTACTATTGATGGGAAGGAAATATGCATTTATTTAACATTTGTTACATTTTGATCCATGTATGGACCATAAGACTAGCAACAATAATTATATGAAAGTAAGTCTTCATGACAAAAAAATTACTTCCAGAGTATAACAGCTTCACTTTAGTCACCTTGGCATCTATTGAGAGTCCAGGCTTGATTGGCTTTACAACATGTTCATTTGTCTTATTTGAAGTCCATGGTACCAAACATCACGGTCGAATTAGAAACCTAAAAAATCATTTCTAAAATTGCTGACACCTCCTTATCTTATGTTATTCAGTTTTCTCCTGCAAAGTGCAATAGACTCAGTTTAGTCATGTGTTTCCACATTGAAAGGGTTGGATGAAAATCTCAGAACTACACCTTGACCCTGTGGCCATTTCCAGACAGCTCTTAGACATGTGCTTAAGCCAGTCTGAGAGACCTGTTTAGGCATGTTGGGGAGGGGTTGGTGCACTCAGGGTTTTCTTGGCTCATAGAGGTTTGGATTTAGGGATCGTATGACGTGGTCCTCAGGCCCAATCCACACAGGGCCCATAGCCCATTAGACCTGTGCCTTTCATGAAGGCATGGGTTTGATGGGGCTATCAAATTAATTTGGGGCAAAGCAGGGTTTTTTTTGCTTTGCCTCAAATTAATTCAGTTTTACCAGAGGTGTTGTTTGGACACCTCCAGTAAAACAGTGGGAGCTTCCACGTTATGGGCCCTGTCTGGATGGGCCCTGTGAAGAATGAGAAGTTTATGCAATACACTTTAAGAGTTGAAGTGACAACAAATCTGAATTTGGCATCCCTCTTCCTAATTTGTCCTTTCAATTGCTGTACTTGATTCCATATTTGCTGTCATGGCTGCATTCTTTTGAAAACTGGACACAATTGAGCAAGCAATATCAAAGTATGATAAAGAAGACAAAAACCATGCAAAAGGGTGCACAAATTTAGAGGAAGATATAGCAGTTTGCTTTTGCTTGGGCATACTAGAAAGGGCAAATTTTGGCTTCCTTCTCTCCCTTCAACCTCAGTGAGGCCAGATCCAGTTTCTGAATCCAGATTTTCCACTTTGAAGTAGATTATAAGAGTCTAGACTGCCATATAATCCACTTCAATGCAGATAATCTGGATACAGAAACTGAATTACATGGCAGTGTAGATGGGGCCTGGGTTTATTGAGTGACTGGCAAACTTGATTGACTAATTTTGCATTTTGAAATTTAGGTTGTAGCACTGGAAGTAAGTTGAAGAGAAAGGATAAATGCAAGAAGGGAGACAAATTGGGACATTTTGAAAGCAGCTGGGAAAGTGAGGCCACAAAGCATCAATCAGGAGAAATTATAGCATTTGGTTAATGTGGACCAAACAACTTTAAATTTCATATGCATGGTCATATTTTCTTTTAACCAGTTTTAGATGTATAAAGTGGGTTTCCATGTGATGGTTCCAATTGTCATACTGTTTGGGGCATTCTGAGACTCACATCCAACAAAATAACTTTTCCAAGCTTTGTATTGTACATATAATGAGGATTGGGTCATCCTTCCTTCCACAACCTCCAGAAGCCAAAAGAATTTTCTCCCCATCCCTCCAAGCAACTTCAGGATGTTTCTACAATCCTTGTGAAATTCTGAATAGTTATGAGCCTACCTGGAAGAAATATCCCAAGGCTATCAGTGCCATATGTTGTGTTGTTGTTTGAAGGGCCTTCTTTGTGATTTTATACTCTTTCTGCCTATTGCATTTTTCTCAATTCACCCCCTGTCCTCACACAAGAAATGGGATTGGTTGGTTTTGGTTTGTGGAAAACACAAGCTTTTACCCAAGATGGCACAATGAGTGTCAAGCCTATTGAGCACAGCTGGGGCAAATGTTGTGGGAATAGCTTTTGCACAATGTTCAGTCAATTCAGGTCAGAGGGAACTATCATAACCAAGCCTCCCTGAGAGGCAAAAGTCTAACATGGAAGCAAAAGAGGCCTGCCCTGGGGATAATTTCCGGTCTGCTGCCCTGAACATACTGTCAAAGATGGACACATTTCAACCTAAATAATGCAGTAATCTTCCTCCTTCTGACAACTGGGACTGAGCCTGCAACAAAGACCTTTTAATCTGCTCTTTCAAACATTGGTGAACTCTGTGTTGCTTTGTCTGTGTACAGTCAGCAAGCCCTCCAGGAAAACGGGGGGATGAATTATCTACAAGAAGGAATGTACAGTTGGGAAACTATTTCCTCTCTTCTTCTCAAATCCTTCTCCCACTTCATAGATAGGTGACCCTGTGTTTTGCATTCTGTCCATTTCAGTTTTACTTTGTTTTTCTTATTCTCCCTAGACATGGATTTATAGAATAACTCCCATTGTGGAAGTGGGAGAAAAGAGAAAACAGTGTTGGAGAAGAAAGGAGTCATGTTCCTGGCTAGAAGACACCAGATACCTTCTGTCTTGATATTGTTGCTACTTCTCTGTAGTGGAGAGAAAACTCAGGCCCAAAGGGCAGGTAAGTGGAAGCATTGTTTGCAAGAGAACTGTAACAGGGGTATAATTTGAGATACCAGGGTTCAAAATAGCAAGTTGTATGTAGTACTGCAGAGTGTTCCAAATGCTGTACATTCATGACAATGGAACTCTTTGCAATGCAGTGATAAAGTGTTGAGACAGGATCCTTCCACACAGTCATATAACCCAAAATATCAAGGCAAAAAATCCCTTAGTATCTGCTTTGAACTGGGTTATCTGAGCCCACACTGCCGTATATTCCAGTTCCAAGCAGATAATGTGGGATTTTATTCAGCTGTGTGGAAGTGGCCTAAGAGGTTTCTGTTGGTCCACTAAGAATTCCAGCACATCTTGGCAATTATTATTATTATTATTATTATTATTATTATTATTATTATTGTTATTATTATTCTCCAATATCTCCCAAGCAGACATGGGATATACATTTTCCATATTTTTGGATTTCCCTGGGATAATTTAAAGGCCAGAAAAAAATGTTCTAACAAGAAGCAACATGAAAATACAACAGAAAATCTACAGCAATAGTTACCCCAGTCTTCAATCTGTTTCTTTCTTAGAGTGAACCTCCTTGATGCACTATCATGCACTATTTTTGAATTGTTTTTGCATTTTAGCACATATACAGGCTTGCTTATTATTCAGTTTTCCTTCCAATCACAGATGCATGTGAAACGTCACTCTTATTTATTTATTTATTTATTTATTTTGCTTGTATACCGCAGTTTCTCAGCCCGTAGGCGACTCAACGCGGTTCACAACAAGAGCAAAAGTCAAACCAACAACATACAATATTAAAACCATTAACAGTATAAAATACAAACTAATGACATCTCAATAACAACACATTAACGTCTCGTAACTAAAATCGTGATCCAATTCGTCATCCATAATTCCGTTTCCTATATTCATATTATATTATATAATATATAATATTATAATATTATATATAATATAATATTATAATATAATATATTATATTATTATATTCATAATTCAGTTTCCTATATTCATCTTAACAGTACACCTGTCACCTGATTGGTTATTTTGTGCCATTGTTGCTCCCCATTTATCTATTAGTACCATCCTCCCCATCTTAATTCATGCCGCTGCACTCACCACACACATACAGTATCACCAATGCCAAAATTTGCCTTATAGTCTTGTTAGGTAAATAAGCAATGTAACAAAGCAGCAGAAGCACTATTGTATCGGAGACTTGAGCTTCGGCCATATGTTTTCTTTGGTTGACAGTTCTTAGGACTTGGCCCTTCTTTAATAATCCCCAGGTAAGGGTAAAAATGTCTAGATGAGAATGCTACTTTGAAAGTTATGGTTGGATAGGTTTGTATTTTCCTCATTTATTGGAACCATGTTTTCTATTTGAATGGCATACTCTGGTCAATTGATTCCTAATGTGGTATGTTTCATGATATTCCCAGAGTCTACCTCCTGTGTTATTTCAGAGAGTCATCCTTAAATCTTAGGTTTTGGCCCTGAAATATCCCTGGATAATGCCACCCTGGCAACCCCAATGCTCACCCAGTGAATTATTTTGCATACATTTTGTTTTAATGCAACATCCTCCCCCCCTCCAGTTTAATTGTGAGTTCTCAGTTTCATTCTTCTTCCAGCAACAAATCAACTTTGATCTTCCTACTAAAACATTACTTCTTGGTTTTCTAATCATAATTAATCTATTTAAACACTTAAATGATTCTGAATAGAGTGGAAATTATGCAAAAATGTGAGTATACATAGGCAAATTACATGAAATGATATGAATGATGCTGACCTTTCTTATACTTTTCAATCAGAATTCTAATTCATGGGATGAAATACACCCGAAAAGGTACACTTGATATTACTTTTTGAAAGCTTGGATTAAAATGGTGTTAGATTTATCATAAATGATAGCCCTCAGATACTAAAATCAGGGATTGATCTAACAAAGTAACAATGGCATGTGTCTTATGAAGGTTAGTATGACAAAAAAGGGGCACACATGTGCACAATTAAATAATTGCTATGTAATCCTAATGCAATACAGTAGATTGTGAGGCCTGGTCTATGACATGTTTTCAATTCATACAGACAACTGGTATGACCTAATAGAATCACCTTTAAAAAAAAGTCCCTCTATAGCAGTGGTTCTCAACCTGGGGTCCCCAGATGTTTTTGGCCTTCAACTCCCAGAAATCCTAATAGCTGGTAAACTGGCTGGGATTTCTGGGAGTTGTAGGCCAAAAACATCTGGGGACTCCAGGTTGAGAACCACTGCTCTATAGCAATGATTCTCAACCTGAGGTCTCCAGGTGTTTTGGTCTACAACTCCCAGAAATCTCAGCCAGTTTACCAACTATTAGGATTTCTGGGAGTTGAAGTCCAAAAGATCTGGGGACCCAAAGATGGAGAAACACTGCTCTATAAGTTCATGGGGCCTTGCAAGGAAGAGTTGTGGGATGAAAAGAATGTTAACTATAACTCCATCCCATTGGAAGGATGTTGGCTGTGATCAATATGTCTTGAAGGAAAATATATCAACATTGCTGGGCCCAACAGGGTGATACATGATAAACATCTCACCAGATATTTTGAAACCATTGGTCTATCTTAATTTTCATGCTATATGTGGAATCACTGAAATACAAAGGTTTTGAACTATGTGATCCGAAATGTAGGGACAGGGTGATGAATTGCTCTCACAACATGTTGCCACAGGGTTTAATCCTTGGCTTCCGCTCCCCCTCCCCTTCTTTTTATGAAGGAGGAAAATCAGTGAAAGAGTTTCATGGCAATAGAATTATCTTCAATTTAAGGAATTTGTTCTCCAATCCAATGAATCACTCTGTTGTCAACACTCTGGATTTGTTTTCTTTTAAAAGAAAAATCTTGTAAAAATTTTCAGGATTGAAAAGGAAAACATTTCTCCAGGCAAACAATAAATAAAAGATAGGATGGCCTTTTAACGAGAAAACATAGAATGCCAATTGCTTGAGATTAAGAGTCAGTAAAGACAGATTGAAAGCAGGCAACTTTTGATCTGCCAAGAGTTTTTACAGCATGTCCTATCAAAGGGAACTGGAAAGTGGGGAACAGAGAGAAGTCTGTTAAGATTTCAAAGGAAAACAGTTGCCTCATAGAGATGCAGACAGAGTAGGCGAAAGGGTTGAACCAAGACAAAGTAGCTGCAACACACACATACAGAGAAGTTATGTAGAATAAAGCAAAAGCTGTGTTTGAATCTACTTTTTTTGAACTATAGAGGAAGGCTTACTATGGCTCTTCAAGGTCTGGTGCATAAGAGAGATGGCAGCTAGCAAGAAGTTCCCTCAAAAGAGGGGTGCTGAATGGAAATGTATCTGAAGCTTGTAGTGTTGGTGACTGCCTTGCTTTACCATATCTCACCTGCTTCTCATTTTTCCCTTTCAGGTTGTAAGAATGTTCACTATGACCTTGTCTTCATCTTGGATACCTCCTCCAGTGTGGGCAAGGAGGACTTTGAGAAGGTTCGACAGTGGGTGGCCAATTTAGTGGACACTTTTGAGATTGGACCAGACAAAACACAGGTTGGTGTTGTCCGCTACAGTGATAGACCAACTACTGAGTTTGACCTTGGAAGATACCAAACTCGGGAGCAGATCAAAGAAGCTGCAAAGAACATCAAATATTATGGGGGCAATACAAACACTGGAGATGCCCTGAGGTACATCAACACCTATAGTTTTTCAGCAGAGGCTGGTGGAAGGCCAACTGACAGTGCCATCAAAAAAGTAGCTATTCTTCTAACTGATGGCCGAAGTCAAGATCATGTTTTGGATCCAGCCACTGCAGCACATAAAGCGGGAATAAGGATCTTTGCTGTGGGTGTTGGTGAGGCACTTAAAGAAGAGCTGGATGAAATTGCTTCTGAGCCTAAATCTGCCCACGTCTTCCATGTTTCTGATTACAATGCAATTGATAAGATCCGTGGAAAGCTGAGAAGGAGACTTTGTGAAAGTAAGTTAAAAAATCTTATAAATAATGTGAAATATGTAAAACTATTTGGCACTGGGGAAATCACTCGCATGTATTGAATCAAATATCAGCAATTTCATTGCAAAATCTTTGAATATATTTATTTTGCTGTCTGAAAGTTTTAATATATATAATGTCTATTGTGCAATACTACTAGCTTGAATTTAAATTAGCCGCCACACTAGTAGATCTATGTGTCTCTGATCATGAACTGAAGGGCATTATGTCAAATATAAGTCTAAATACTTTTTGAACCTCACATGTGACTAGATGACAGAATTGTAATATCACCATGTAAGTGCCTTTCCTCACTTAATGATTGTTGTTTCCATATCGTAGAGAGTTACTGATCAATTTAGAATGATTTTTGAAGCAGGACAACTGTATCACGCAATGTAATGTAATAATCTTAAAGAAAAGTTTCAGATCTCCAAAAAAAGTGGATATTAACTTTTTTTTATTTTTAAAATTCTATTCATCACTAAAACTGTTTGAAAAAAGGGATTATATCTTTCCGTCTTTCATTATTGAACAATGGTGTTGGAATAGACTACAAAGATCATCTAGTCCTACTCCTTGTGATCTAAGTGTACATAGAGAGTATGTCAAACTCCAAGTAATCTATTCTACAGTCAAAGAATTCATAAAAATTCAAAATTTCCATACACCAATGTGCACAACATAAAAGTATGTGAAAATGTGCACAAATGTCCCCTTGCTTATGGGAGAACTGTTATATCAAAATGTCCAAATTTTCATGTGAAAAGCGGTGCCCAAAATCACACAATCTGATATGAAACAAAGACAGAAAGAAAATGTAGGTGAAAATCAAAAGAACACAACTGCTGTGTAGCTGCATTATAAATTTATCATGGAAACATCCCCCCCCCCCCCCCATGGAGCAGCAGGGAAAACTGAGGCAGAAGGCTATGGCAGATGTTGGGATTGCAGAAGAACCAGGGGAGAGGTGCTTGCAATGAATAGAAATTGATCAGATACAACACCCGCTGTAGTCTTGAGGTAAAAGAAAATGTCTTAAGAATAGTAAGTGCTAACTCAGAGATATAACTGATCCCTCACCCCGAAGCCAGATTTGGTTAAATCATTTAAAGTACCCAAATCAGCAAGTTATCTCTTGTTGAATTCTTGATCTCATAGACTTGAAAGAAACTAAGAATGTCTAAGAATGTGGTGGCATGTAACAGGTGCATACAAAAAGGGAGACACAAACATGTCCATTTTAAAATATAGGTGTTCTTCTTTAGTTTCCTGTCTTAGAATTCTGGATAGAAGATTTGACTATGTTTACTTTTCTTTCAGTAGGATGCAGTTTGAGAAATTGAGTTAGGGCTGGTTGGTAAATGACATATCATTGTCTTCTTGAGCATGGGGTGTCTTTATGGGTATTTATTTATCGTGTCATCAGCAACCATACCATTGTATTACATTTCTAACAGAACAAAAAAAACACACAGATTAAAAAAAACACAGATTTTGCAAACTTGGTTGTTGGTTAAATGTCCTTTGACCAGTATCTGGCCACTTGGAGTGCTTCTGGTGTTGCTGCAAGAAGGTCCTCCATTGTGCATGTGGCAGGGGTCAGGGTGCATTGCAGCAGGTGGTCAGTGGTTTGCTCTTCTCCGCACTCGCATGCCATGGATTCCACCCTGCCATGGATTCCACCCTTTATGGGTGAGGACTTATCATATAGACATCATATTATGATATTTTTTTAAAAATAATACGGGACAGAAAAGGATACACAAAGCACTCCTCACCCTGAAATAATACATGAGGGATAATTGAATAGGATAGGTGCATGTCCTAGAGTTCCACATGTATTACCTTGCAATTTATGATATAGGGCTTTTGCTGCACTCTAAGGAATATGGAGGGCAGTTTTATTATATCTCAGAGTGACTAGAGAGTTCTTGGATTGGGGAAGCTCAACTTTCTCCCAAAACTGGGCAGACATAAATGAAGTTTGTGTTTCATCAAGGATAGAATTGTGGTAAAAGTACAGTGGAAAATTAATCTTACTGTTTTCAGTCAAGTTTACTAAGCATACTTTTGATACGTGTGCATACGTCTTAGAAAAACTGCATTTGCAACTCTTTAATGATCAAGAGACATGAAGCTCTATGCAGTGTCCGAATTACTAATTTACACTTGCATCCTCTTTTGCTGAGTTTTCAAAATCCATTTGCCAGTTTGCAGCCAATCAGGCAAATCTGGCTTGGAAATAATTTAGTGTTTATCTCACTTAATCATAATTAAGAAAGTAAGCAATAATCTCACATTTTTCAACTTGACAAGAAATGAGTTTATGAAACATTTTTACATAACCTCTCCCATTCCCAAATATTCTTATCCAAATGAAATTTTCATAAAAAGTCTGGAAACATGAGAAATAACCAAAAAGGCAGAGAACTATAATTAATTTCACATACGAGAGAGTTCTTGAAAGTCTTCATTCTTGTATACAGAAATGGAATAAATGAAGATGTACATGTATAATCAAGGTGAGCAATAAAAATCTTTTTCTGCAGTGTAACCATAAGGAAAAG